GTGTTTTTCCTTTGTAGCTCAGGCAGCCATCTTGGATTTTTGATTTGCAACCAGAGTCTGTTCTCAGCTACCGATCCACAAATCTTCAGCTGACTAACTCTAAAAACAGACCAGTTATATCCATCTGAAAATAGCTTTGGCGGCCATCTTCCATTTTTAGATTTGAATTCAGAATTTGTTGCGCATCGCTGTCAGGTTAAAATAGATGAGTTATTCTATTTTTCCCTTTTAGCTAAGGCAGCCATCTTAGATTTTTAATTTGCATTAGGAATATATAACATCTGTCTGAGCTACGATCAAACCAAATCTCAGCTCAATATCTCAAAGAATGACAGAGTTATTCTGAGGTAGCTGTGGCAGCCATCTTGATCCATAATGGCTCCAAAGGTTAATCCGTGTTTTGTTCAGAGAGCTCGTCACTCCAGGTCATGTGACCTCACAGGCTGTGAAGAGTTCTGTCAGTCCAACAAAGTCCAGTCGGGTCCTTGGGACGGTTTCTTCTTTGTTGAGACGTTTCATCTTTTATCAAAAAGACTTCTTCAGACTCAGGAGGTTGACTCCAAATATTAACGAGTGGTAGATGTACATGTAATAACTTGTATCTGCAAGTTTCATTTAAATCTGTCCAGTGGTATTTGAGATATTTTGCTAACATACAAACATGATGAACTCCAGCAGTAAGTAAAGATGTTGTGCAACGTGTTGTTCTCAAAGAATGCACTGAGGACATCAACTTTCATCTCAGGATGGGTGAAACTTACTAATTTATTTCCATTTGTGTGTTTGATAAGATTGCTTTACTGTGGCGGCCATCTTGAATAAGACTGGCTTGAAAAGTCTGACTTAATATTTCACAAGTTTGAGAGGCTGTGATGAATTTGATAGATTGTTTTTATTTTTTATCTTCAGAAATGGACTTTGAAATGTTTGTGATCAAAATAATGAAAGAAGGGATCCAAGGGGCCCTGCCCGGCTCACTCCTGTCCTGTGCACCAGTTTGAGGTGCACTGAGACCTCGGTCCCACCCATAGAGGGAAGGGGTGTGTTCACATACAAACTGACTGAACTGGTCCCTCTGTGAAACCAGTCCTTTGAGGAACTCTGAGCCAAAACAATGTTACCTGTAATCCTCGTCGTGGGTGCTGTTTTAGGATTCTCTTACATTTTTCATCATATTGTGGTGAAGGGACAAAAATGCACAAGCAAAGCAAAGCTGCACGGGAAAACAGTGATTGTAACCGGTAAGATAAAGTTCTGCTTGTTGGTGGCATGATGTTGCTCGTTGATTGATTCCTGTTGTTCTCCTGCAGGCAGCAACACTGGCATAGGGAAGATGACGGCCATAGATCTGGCTAAAAGAGGAGCCAGAGTGATTCTGGCCTGTCGCTGTAAGCAGAGAGGAGAGGCTGCTCTCCAGGAGATCAAGCAGGTGAGCACCTCCAGGTGAACTGGGTTTGTTTAACTCGTTGCAGCCACTGCTCAGAATGAAAGAACTGGGCTGAGTGTAAAAAAACAAGAGCTGCTTCCCTTCAGAACAGGTCAGAGCTCTGTGTGTTGCAGGAGAGTGGCAGTAACCAGGTGGTGTTCATGCAGCTGGATCTGGGGAGCCTCAAGTCTGTTCGTAGTTTTGCAGAGACCTTCCTGAAGTCTGAACCCAGACTGGACATCCTGATCAACAACGCAGGTTAGACTGTTCCTTTAATCTGTATTTCATTCACTACAGCTCCTTCTTACCTTTATTCTTAAAAGCAGTTGCCTTACATACAATA